TAAGGTGCAACAATGAAAAGCATTCAAATTTATGTTTAGCTTTTGCTGCCAAAAAACAAAAACAAAGGTTTCCACATTACCAACAAGGGGTTGACTGTTATTTCTCAAGTGGACAGTCTCATTTAACCTCAGTGACTTCCTAAATCAGACGCTTGTGTTCACAATAACAGGGTTTTTTAAAAAACACAATGTGAAATGGAGCCTGTGCAAGATTAGGCTATAGTCTTTTTTCCAGTGTAACATATGAAGGTCCCATTGATTGAGACTCGTGTGCCTGGGATTGTTACCTTAGTGTACATGAGGATTTTAACATTTAGGAATGCAGGCTACCAGTTTTACTGTTGGAGTTCTTTTCTAACTTTGAACTGTGTAAACATTTCCTATCATTTATCATACATAAAAATTGACAGTGAAGTATTGACTGTTTTAAAATGCTTTTGGGGCAGCAGTTGGGTCTTTTGGCATGCCAGTTATCTGTTCTAAGGAGGGATGGGGTTGTTCTTATGAATTTCAGGGTCAGCATCTCCTGTCTGTTTCCTGCTTCCTGGCACTTCAGCATTTCTCCAGTAGGCTGTCCTCGGATGTTGAACACCACATTGCGACAGATTATTGTCATCAGTCTGCTTGTTACTGCGTTTTTCTTACTGTACTACTCAGTCGTTATAATCAGGAATAAATACGGCTACAGGGACAGAAAGCTGCACAGGTAAGAGCAATAGCCATTAAGGCAAAATACGTGATGCAAAGGTTTATATGCACAGCTGAAAGCAATATATCTGGAGCTGCCTCATTCTGGGATAGCGCATCGGTCCGTCTAGCTCAGCACTCTGTGCAGTGATTGGCAGCAGCTCTCCATATCCGTGGCAAAAAAAGGGTCTTTCCTGACACCTGCTACTTGTGAATCTTTTAACTGGAGATGCTGAGTGTTTTTTAATATATATCCTTGTACATTATACTCCTTTTCATAATTTAAACATGTGAAAAGCAATATTGAGGTTACATTCCAACAATACAATTAGCAGATTAAATTTAAACCCAGTCCGGTTTGTAGCCTCTTTGTTTCCTATTCCTTTATCCTACCCACATATGAAACCGCCGTACAACTCTCTTTAAATAGTGTTGAACATGAGACCATCTGAATGCAAAGCATATGCTCTGTCCCTGAATCACAGCATATGAAGGCAGTTAAATGCATGCTTTAAAAATACATCCATGGAGACAGATCGAGATGGATACCCAAGTTAGTCTGTCTGTAGCAGTAGAAAAGAGCATGAGTCCAATAGCACCTTAAAGATTAACAACATTTGATAATCGAGACTCTGAAAATGATGAACCAAACAGCAGAGAAGGTGAAAGAAGTGGATGCCACTGCACAAAAGGTGAAACAACTGGAAAATAAGCAAGTCTCCACAGAAGAGCAATTGCTGTAACTACAAATGGAAAAGGCGAATATGATTCTTCGCTTCCAGGGCATGCTAGAGTCTACGGATGAGAATCTAAAGGAACTAATGACTGAAATATTGGCCCCAGTGACAGAGATAAAGGTGGAACAGCTGATAAGCGAGATGGATGTAACCTATAGGTCATATTCAGGATATATAAAGAAAAATAATCTGCCTGCTGAAATTGTTGTTAGATTCTCGAAGAGGCATGTGAGGGATGCAATCCTCAAAACTGTATCTGGAGTACCCCTGAAAGTGGGGGAGAATGCCATCAGAGTTCTCAAAGACATTCCATTTGAAATAAGGCAAAGGAGAAAGAAGTATAAAGAGCTTATTCTCTTTCTTCAGACAAATTCAATTGGATATAGATGGCTAACTCCAGAAGGCATCACCTTCAAAATCAAGGATAAAAAAGAAAAGATTGACTCTGTTCTGAAAGCTCGGGAATTTCTAAGAGTCCAGATGGGAGGGCCAGAGGAGGAAGAAAAAGAAGAAGAGGACAGTAAGGCCAATGGCGAGCTGGACTCGGATTCTTCCGGGAAGGACTCTCTTTCTGAGAAAGGTGCAGCAGCTCCTAAAAGTCCTTATAAGTTGCGGAAGAGACGGGGCAAGGAGAAGTGAAGGCTGAAGGACTCTGAGTTGTGCCTTTGAAAAAAGTTTAAAATTTGATGCTTGGGGGTATTTCTTAACAATAGTTGAATTGAAGAATTTAAAAAGTTAATGATATATACTTGACTCAGTTTGTAAAGGGGCTAGCGGGATGAAGACTTGATGTTTTGTGTAAGCTGATTAGAAGATCTCCTCTCTTGGGTTTTTAGGTATTAGTGGGTATCTTTACTTTGTCCCTAGTGTGGTCCCCTACCCTATTTCTGTTATAGTATGTAGTGTTTATAAAAATGTAATTAAAAAAATCCCCTTTGGGGGGCCAAAAAAAAAAGATTAACAACATTTGCACCCTGCCACAAATTTGTTAGTCTTTAAGGTGCTACAGAACTCTTGCTGTTCTCATACACCCGTGTAACGCTACAGAGATTTGCAGTTTAATCCTCTTTATTTTTTTACTTGGGAGTGAGTGAGACGCACTGTGAAGCAACACTGCCCCTTTTTCTTGCAGGTACCTTGCTAGAGTAACTGATACAGAAGCCACGGATACCAACAACCCCAACCTGAACTATGGCATCATGGTGGACTGTGGCAGCAGCGGATCTAGGATCTTTGTGTACTGTTGGCCAAGACATAATGGCAATCCACATGATTTGTTGGACATCAAACAAATGAGGGACAAAAACAGAAAACCAGTTGTTATGAAAATTAAACCAGGTATGGGGAGCATCCATGTTTTTCTGACTAGCTGGCAGACTACTTTATTGGTGGCAGTTCTCACAAATGCTCCCCCACACACACATTTTGTAGCATCCCTTTGTAATTGGGATGATCCATGCAGCTTGACGTTATCCATGCTTACTCAGAATTAAGTCCTGCTGTTTTTCATTGGACTTGCTCCCAAATAAATGTGTTTAGAATTACAGTCATAATTAAATGCTCTAAGGGATGTTGGGCATCTAATCAAGCATTGCTAACAAAACAGATCTTTGTAGGAGCATTAGGAGTTGTTAATGTGATGACTGCTGTTTTTGTGAAGAGCTTTATATTTGAAATTACCATAATTAATGTAAATATAACCTCTGCCAACTCATTCTTGGGAGCAGCTCTGCTTGCGATACTAGCTTAAGAATGGAAAGTTGCTGATCTTAGCTCACAATGTCATGTTCATTTGTCTGTGACGCAGACTTAAACTGCTGAGGGCAGGGACCCATTTGGCTGGCACCTCCCCTAGTGTTAATTTGTCATTATTGTGTTCGTATTGAATTGCTTGTGCGTTGGTCTCTAAAATCTGAAAATAAACATGGTGAGCCCAGGTGGATCAGATTAAATGTCCACATAATTCCATATCCTATTTTCCAAAGAAACAGAACAGGTGCCTCTGGGGAAGTTCACAAGTGGGGCATGAAGGCAGTTACCCTGCAGAGGTCCATCAGTGGCTATTAGCCGCAAGGTATAGATAGGAACTCTCAGTATGGAGCAAGTGATGCTCTATATTCTTGGTGCTTGGGGGGGGGAGGCAACAGTGGGAGGGCTTCTAGTGTCCTGGCCCCACTGCTGGATCTCCTGATGGCACCTGGTATTTTTGGCCACTGTGTGACAGAGTGTTGGACTGGATGGGCCATTGGCCTGATCCAACATTGGCTTCTCTTACGTTCTTATGTACCCTACTGTTTTCCTCCAGTGACTGGCACTCAGAGGCACACCACCTTTGAATATGGAGGATGCATTTAGCCATCATAGGTCCAGAAGTGGCTATCTCCCGTGAATTTATCTAGGTCTCTTTTAAAGCTAACCTAGCTGCTGTCATTGAACCATGTGACAGTAAGTTCCATCAGTTGCCTATGTGCGGTGTGAAGAAGTACTTCTGTTTGTCCTAAATTTGTCAGCTTCTTAGGATGCCTTGGATTTGGATATTATGGCTGATGGAGGAAAGGTTTTCTTTGTCCTCTCTGTGCACAATATGTATAAAGTTTTGAATGATTATAAACATGATCCAAGTCATACTTTTCATTTGGGCATGGCATTTTTCTTTTAAGGACTTTTTTTAAAACCATGAAATTGCTTACTCTGGCAGTAAACTCATGCCATTTGAGATAGTGGATTTTGTTCCATGTGCTAATTTCCCCCCCTTTATTGGGTTATATCATGCTGAATGTTATGCAGGAAGTCCTTGATAAAATTATCATTTAATGTAGTTTTCATCTCTTTGAAGCAAACTTTTTTTGTCAGTATCTTTTTGTGTTGTGATTTGCTCTACAACATTAAAAAAAAACCTCTGTTGTTCTCCAGGCATTTCAGAATTTGCTACCTCTCCTGAAAAAGTTAGCGACTACATTTTTCCACTTCTGAGCTTTGCTGCAGAACATGTACCCCGTGCAAAACACAAAGAAACGCCTCTCTACATTCTCTGCACAGCGGGGATGAGGATCCTGCCAGAGAGGTGACTGCATGGCTGTTTCTATTAAACCCTTAACCCAGGGGGTCCCCAGTGTGATGCTAGTGGGCACCATGACACCCGCCAGCACCTTTCTGGAGCCCGCCAAGTGCTTTTGGAAGGTGTGTGATGCCAGATGCTTCCCTGCCTGTTGTGACATTCAAATTTGGCTGGCTTTGCAGATTTAAAAAAAAATTGTTGCTTTGGCAGCAGCTGCCACCGCAGCAGAAGGATCTTCACTGTGTGGCTGAAGGTAAACTGTGGCAGGTATTTTGTGGTCAGCTCCATCTCCTGCAGCGCCATTTGTGGCTGCATCCACTACATTGTGTCAGAATTCCAATGGTGCCTGCAGGCTCAAAAAGGTTGGGGACCCCTGCCTTGACCCAAGACTGGAATCCAGTTGGCTGGGAGAAGTAACGGAGGGGAGTATTTGATTTCATTCTTATACAGCCCCACATTGCTTATTCCTCAAGGTCAGTTGCCCTGTGATGTTTCATGCCCCTTCCTTGTAACTTTTTGTAAATTGAATTGTGTAATTAGATTATATTGGGATCATGTACCCCCACAATTACACTAAAAGGGAGACAAATTAGCATGTAAGGTGAAAACCGTACAATTTTAAGAAAAAATGTATCTAACATCCTTGCTGTTCCTTTACTGCCAAAAAGAAATAATAAAGGGGGTTAACTTTTGTTGGTAGTTGGGGGCATGCTCAGTGTATCCTCCAAGCTTTTTTTTTAATTCTATAATTTACTTTGGAGTTTGTTGAACCCTCATGCTGGATTAATACAGTACACTTTTTCTTTGGGCAGAGGTTTAATTTAGAGGATGGAAGTATGGCAAATGTCTTTACTTTCAAACTTTTTGGAATCTTGCAGCCAGCAAAAGGCAATATTGGAAGACCTGCTTACTGATATCCCAGTGCATTTTGATTTTTTGTTTTCTGATTCGCATGCTGAGGTTATTTCAGGAAAACAGGAAGGTAAGGGTTTTTAAACGATATTTTGGATATTCCAGCACTGAAATTATGGATTCTTGTTCAGGTCACTGTCCCTTCAGTGGAAGCCAAGCAACCAGCTGTTTGTGAAAGAAAGGACTCTGGGAAATGCTGAGAGGCACAGCTCAGGATGAGGAGAATGGAACAGATGCATCCCTATTCGGGATACCTACAGCCAGGGGTCATTTCGTAGAAAAAGAGGTGCAGGAGGTCATTTGCATAACTCATTTGTGTGTGCCACACCCCCTGACAAGGGGCAGGCATGTTTAGAATGCCTTTCTCTCCCTTCCCCATCTGGGGAAAGGAAAGAAAGGCATTTAAATCCCCGCCCCCTTCCCTGAGTTTCTTTGCAAAAGCGGAGAGGCTCAGGGGAAAGGGGGGCATGTCTGCCCACCTCCCCTTCCCTTCTCCAGCCAGCCCGCCTTCCCTTCTCCAGCCAGTCCGTAGCTGCAGGGCACCTAGAGAACATCGGGCAGGGAACCCAGGCATTTAAATCCCCCCCTTCCCCCGAGTCTCTCCGCAAAAGCGGAGAGGCTCAGGGGAAAGGGGGGCATGTCTGCCCACCTCCCCTTCCCGTGGGCTGACTGGAGAAGGAGAGGGTAGGGAACCCAGGCATGTGTAGTATGCCATCTGGGGAAGGGAAAGAAAGGCATTTAAATCCCCCCAGGCGGCATTGGGCTCTGCAGGGCTTCCCTGGCCTGTTCGCCTACACAGGCAGGCCAGGAATGGCGGCAGGGGGGCAGGCTCCTTTCTGCCGGAGCACCTCTTCACCACGCTCTGGCGGGAAATGACCCCTGCCTACAGCTTACATTGAGACCCTGCTGTTTTGTAGCTGTGGCTGATACTAGATTTGATACTGGAGTCTTAATGGCCCTGTAAAGAACATGAGAGAGCCCCTGTGTCTGTTGGAAATTGTCACTGAAGGGTGGTGAGGGTGTGTGTGTGGGTTGCTTGGAATTCTCTTTTTTAAATAATGTTTTTGTTTCTAGGCATAGGTGCACCTCTGCAGAATTAACTTTGTTATAAGAAAAGTTGGAAAGGTGCTAGTGTTAAGATAGACAAAGATGGTGGACATTAGATTTTTGGAAGGTTACATCCGTTAGTTATGGAAGAGAATGAATTGAGGGTGTGAGGGGGTTTGCCTTGTTTGAGAACAGGTGGAACAGAATACAACTATTTGTGTAGATGCATAATGCATTTTTATTTTGGGTTTTTTTGACGTTTTAAGCCATACATAGTGCAGTAAAATCTTTTAAATATGATTAGGATGAGGCAGGCGGGAAGGATTGGGATGGGGGGAGGGTTAAACAAGGGACCAGTTTGTAAAGTAAAAGTATTCCCTGCCAAATCAGTAATTCATCTGAGTAATACAGATTACAAAAGTACTTGCAATAGCCTCTTACGAAGTCCACTAAAACCATTCCGAGATATCGTTGTGTGATATGAAACACATTCCTTGCAAGTCATCCCCACTCTTTGCTACAGTACCCTTTGATTCTGAGTCCCTTAAGTTTTGTCCTGCTGCTTATCTGTCCACTGTTCCCCTCTACACACACTATCAGATTTCCTTATTTTTGTCCTCATCCTTCCTTTACCAGGGCTGCATGCATACATCATTGGATATTGTGCCCTTGTGGCACTATAGCAACCACCCACAGATGGATTGCCTTGTCCACACAGTCCACCCTGTCATGCAGTGTCAGCAGCCATTTATAACTAAAGAGCCAAAAGGCATTGAAACTTTGAGCAAGAGATTAATAAATTGTCAGTATAAGAAAGCATATTTGCATAACTGAAAATATACTCCTTAACAGTACTGATAAATGACATGTGGATCAATAATCCATAAATTTTCTGCTGCCCCAGCACTGATTGAGGAGCCCTTTATTAGGAAGTGGTGTGTATGACTCTCACAATAAAAAGTATACAGAAGAGCACCCTGTGGTAATACTTTTCAGTGCCCTAGCATAAATCTGTGCATGGTTCGAACTTGGATTCCTCAAAATGTTCATCTCCATCATTTCCCTTTTGGCAAACTTCCATATCTTTTCTGTAAACTTCCATATCTATGAATAATGTGCTGACTCATGGTGACCCCATCCACGTGGGGTTCAAGGCAAGAGATGAGTATAGGTGGTCTGCCATTGCCTTCCTCTGCACAGCAACTTCCGTCATCCTTGGTCCTCCCATCCAAGTACTAACCATGGCTGACCCTGCTTGGCTTCCCAGCTCTGACCACCTCAAGCTAAACTGGGCTACTCAGGTGCTGAAAAAAACTTTGCCTGGCATTTCCTTTACATACTGGTTATTCTAGCAGCCCTCCAATATAACCTAAAGATTTCAATTCCTTTTTTAATGAAGAAGAAGAGAAGAGATTGGACTTATACCCCGCCCTTCACTTGGAGTCTCAGAGCGGCTTACAAACTCCTTTCCCTTCCCCTCCCCACAACAGACACCCTGTGAGGTGGGTGGGGCTGAGAGAGCTCTGACACAAACTGCTCTTTTTCAAGGACAGCTGTGCCAGCGCTTGTGACTGACCCAAGGTCATCCAGCCAGGTGCAAGTGGAGGAGTGGGGAATCAAACCCGGTTCTCCCAGATTAGAGTCCGCGCGCTTAACCACGACACCAAACTGGCTCTCATATTTGGTTCCATACCAGACCACAGTTGGCCCTAGAACCATAGGTTACAGTCACAGGCCCTGCTATAGCGCAACAATAGTGCAGTATCCAGTGATGTGTGGATGCAGCCCAGGTTTCTCTACCTTTGTGCCTTACATCCTTCTGTCTGCTCTTATGGCCTTCACTCCTCTCTACTGGATGCCTTCCAGCACTTTCAGAACCTTTCCTCTCTTGACAGGCAGAGTTCTGTTCTGCTCTTACAACCTTCAGCTGGGTCTGGCAAATAGAAGAAGAAGAAGAGGAGATTGGATTCATACCCCGCCCTTCACTTGGAGTCTCAGAGCGGCTTACAAACTCCTTTCCCTTCCCCTCCCCACAACAGACACCCTGTGAGGTGGGTGGGGCTGAGAGAACTCTGACACAAACTGCCCTTTTTCAAGGACAGCTGTGCCAGAGCTTGTGACTGACCCAAGGTCACATCAGCAGGTGCAAGTGGAGGAGTGGGGAATCAAACCCGGTTCTCCCAGATTAGATTCCGCACACTTAACCACTATACCAAACTGGCTCTCATCCTGCAAGAGCACACCCTGGTGGCGGAATTTGGGACCCCAGGGCACCAAAAGTGCTTCAGTCCCCCCCCCCCCCCCCCCACA